CTTTGTTTTATTCTTTTTGTATACTAATATGTATTTTACACTCGTTTTTTTTCTCTATTTTATAATTTTATTGTATTTTATGATTGTGTACAGCACTTTGGTCCTGTTCGGTGTATAAAGTGCTTCATAAATAAAGTTGGTATGGTATGGTATGGTAAATGTCAAGGTGGAGTCATATTTACAACCCATCTTTTTGCACAACTCGTCAATAACATATTAATTAAACTATTATAAGTTTTATAGGTCCCAGAAATTTGAAAATATAAGAGATCAAAAGTAAATATATTGCTTGCTTATTTAAACAAAGAAGAGTTATTTAGTTATTAAGTTGGAGAACAATGTAAGTAAAGTAAGCTAGCTCTTTCCTCATGACAGATGGTGCAGAAAGGGCAGACCCCAGTTGTCAAAATTCAAGGTTACAATAGTGTTCACCATTACACCTCATTATACGTTATTTGGAACAAAACAACAAAACAGCCACAGGAAGCAACGAAGCAACGGTTGGATTTTAAACTGAGAAGTGCAACAAATTTAGGAAAAGAAAGCCTTTACCGTTAGGAAAGTATGATGGTTGCTAAATGCGCTGCTCTCCACCTCCTCCGCTTCCTGTCGCCTCTATAAGCGCGGGAAGTTTTAGACCGTCGGACACAAAGAACTACAAAGGCGAGAGTCGCTTTACGTCACACGGCGCTAGTGTCGTAAATACTTTGTAAGGCAGTTGGATACTTTTATTTTCGCTTTTCCTTCGTTTTAACTTGTGTGGTTACTTGTGTGAATATTAGCGAGTAGCATACATCTTCTTTGTTTTTTAATTAATATTATTATTATTTTTTTATACAAAAAAAGAAGAATTATAAGTTAAGCGGAACATTTCTTGCTCTAACAAGCCAGTCCGGAGGATTTAACAAAAAACACAGGAAGCAACCGCTGGATTCCTAGAACAAATGCTTCTCCGACTTATAAGCTAAAATATATTTTTTATTTAAACTCATAGCAATAATCACTCCAGATAGCATCATCTTTATCATAGTGTTACAACTAATTTGACATTTATTTAAATAGATTGCCCACCATGTTGATTAAAGTGAAGGTAAGTTACATAAAGCAGTGATGACAGCCTATTGTTTTCATACACTCACTGAGACAGTCATAACTTGCTTATCATCTCTAAGTCTATAAAGTGTTTTTATTACAGACTCTCACTGGCAAGGAAATAGAGATTGACATAGAGCCTACAGATAAGGTATTTAATGATGGTTTACATCCTCTTTTTTCCCTTTCACAGCCAGAAAACTTATGTTTTTACCTGTTTTAGAGCATTTAGACCTAACTGATTGCAATGTATTACAATCCAGGTGGAGCGGATTAAAGAAAGAGTGGAAGAGAAAGAGGGGATCCCTCCCCAACAACAGAGGTTGATCTACAGTGGGAAACAAATGTAAGATCATATGTTTTTTATTTTTTTTCTAAACGGACAGTAGTTTCTGGGGTTTCAATGAAAGGGGTTGTGTTTTCCTATTCGGTAGTGATTTAGTAGTTTTTAGCATCGACATATTCTCCCTGAAGTAAAAAACCATGTGTAGGCCTAATAAGCCACCTCATGATGCTGCACATCATTATTGTGAGAAGTAATCATGATTTGAAAGAAAGTTTTAATTGACATAATCAATTATTCCTCAAATAAGTGCAGACAGAGACTGCTTGAGCACCACAGGAAAGCACCAGTTCAATTTGGTTTATTTATATAGCGGCAATTCACAACACTTGTCATCTCAGGGCACATTATAATTTAACCAGATCATGCAGTCAAATTGATTTCTTTCATCTAAGGAAACAGAGTTGATTACATCGACTCGACTCAAAGGCAAACCCTAACACCAAACATGCTTGTAGCAACAGTGGAAAGGAAAAACTCCCAGGTTAGATCCACATGTTCTATTGCCTGTCATGAGCTGTGTTGTGTGTTATTCAGCTTCTGTTTTTATCTAGGTTGATGTTGTACATCTTAAAATATCCCTATTTTAATATCACTGTGGATAAATCTGCAATGCATAGAATGTAATGCTTTAATTGTAATTGCTGCCATAAATTGTAGCTAATTCTGTTTAGGTTCATCCAGGTTCACTGTCAGTAAATTCATTAGATTTTGTGTTGTTAAATGCAGCAGATATATTATTTAATGCAGTGTCGTAGAAGGGTATTATGTTTTCCCGTTATAGTTGTTAAGATTCTACGACTGCGATGTACCTGAGTCAAAAAGTAGGTGTTCTGATATTTATGTTTGCAATAAAACTAAAAAAGATACAATAACAGCATTTATTTATTGCAAGTAGACTTGTCACATTAATAAATTTTCCCAGGAATTATTGAGACAAACAATGATATATTGACATTTGGTTTGAAGCCAAAGTTCTCCCACACTGCAGCTGTCGGGTTCAGACTTGACCCGATTCCATCTCTGGTATTTCCAAATCTCAGCTTGTTTTTTTTTTTTTTTGGAAAACTCCTCCTCAGTCAAGAGGTTCTCATGCAACACTCACTGTGCTGAGGAAATGTTAAGGGGGGGAGTGAGTGGAGACCGTGGGGAAACCTTTTGTTATTTACAGTTTTAGCAGAAAGGAAGAGAGAACAAAAAGGCAAGCAGGCAAACACAATGTATTGAGCTCACTTAAATGTAACATACGATTAATTTTTAACTTGTGATTAACAAATTAATTTTTTTATTGTGACAATCTTGATTGCAAGTCATATTGTTGTCACTAATTCATTTAAATTGTCACACATGGCATGTTTTTCAGCTTTTATAGCTCTACCAGACGTGCTCAAAGTCGGTCCTTGAGGGGCTGCTTTCCTGCAGGTTTTAGAGGTTGTCCTGCTTTAGCACAGCTGATTCTAATGGTTATAGATCAACAAAAGCCTGTTAATCAGAAATCAATGAAAATCAGATGTGCTGAAGCAGGTAAACCTCTAAAACCTGCAGGATAGAGGCCCTCGAGGACCAACTTTAGGCATGCCTGCTGGCCATACATGCAGACGATGTAAAAGCACAAGAGAGGCCTTCAATGTGTCAGAAAGGTGTGTTTTTAAAAAGACTGAAGCAGCTTGAAGAAATCACGCTTTCATCGTTGCTGACAATATTTGGTGCATAAATGAAAGTATGATAATGAAATGTGCTGGTTAAATGTGCCTTTTAGTGCAATCAGCAAAGCTTGGACTTTCCCCTATACAGAAATGCAAAAAATAAACCCCTTTATAAACTTAAGTCATTGCCATATTTGTTCTTTTATGATTTATGTAAAAAAAAACAAAAAAACTCTGAATCTAATCATGATTCCTTTTTTTTTCTTGCATAGGAACGATGAGAAAACAGCCGCAGACTATAAGATCCAGGGCGGCTCTGTTCTGCACCTGGTACTGGCCCTGAGAGGAGGACGCCGGCTATGCTTCACCTTTTAGCCTCAACTAAACAAGCTAAAACTGAAAAGATGCCTTCAAAGATCGCACTGTTACCTGAAGCAGCTGAACAACCACCTGTTGACACTTAAAGGCACCACGGAGTCGTTAACTGAGTTGAATCAGTTTTTTTTTTTCATTTTTGTTGCTTTCCATCTCCAAAGCTACGTATGTACGCAGAAAGTAAATCACCAAAGCTTTGGATCAACACATGGCTGAGTTGAAGTTAAGAAAAAAGTGATATTTAATCATTCTTCTGTCACTTTGTGCAAATAGTTTTATGTTCTCAAAGACATGCTGGAGAAGAATGTTTGCTGCACCTAAAATAAACGTGACAAAACTATAATGTAAAGGTCTTTTTTTGTCACAATGTAACACACAGGGTGTGACTGAATCCAGCTGTTTATGAAGCACTGATGTAGCAGAGTGAGAATGAGGAGAGTTTTAAAAAACAGTGTTGAGATATAAAACAAGACTAACCTTAAAATAAACCAAAAACCTTTGATTCTGGTTTTTTTTTTTTTTTTTGCTAAACGCTTGATAAGATAAATAAGATGCAAAAAAAAAAAAAACTTAAAAAGCATTCATTTTCTTTTCCTAAATATGGAACTCATTGGAGAAAAGAGGAGTGAAGAACATTATTATGATGTTTGTGTTTCAGTAAAAATGGCATGAATCAATTGAACATCTTCATGGATTAATCATTATGAATCATTATGTTTAACTATAGCTGTCAGCGGCTGAATCTCTCCCTGCTTGTGTTTGGTCTCTGTTAAAATGTTTCCCTTTATGTTCATTGAAATAAAACAGATTCTGGAAAGGCTTTCAGTTTGATCTGTTCTTTACAATTAAAGTGAAAGTAGAATCTGATAGTTTTACCTTTACTGGTGACTGGAGAGTGACTCTAACATGCAGCATGGGGGACATCCCTCATTAGTGTGGAAGATGCTACTGACAGATGACTCCATGTTAGCTGTTTTCTCCTCAGGCGACCCAGTTTAATCATTTTTTGTGCACTAGAGGTGTCCCGATACAACTTTTGAATTTTCAATAAAACACTGATCTTGCAGCTTCAAGTTCTGATTGATACCCTGTATGTTATCAACAGCATTTGTATAGATTTTTCTAACATGCTGATCAAATAAACCTATTCTGACCAAATGAGTTCACTCATGCATGAAACAAGTCTCCTTTATTTTTGCTAATAATATCTTGTATAACACGCTAAAGACAGTCATCATCATCCCGTAGTCTTACAGGGAATGCTATTACATGGTGTTGCATTCGCTTCAGCTACTATATTTCTTCTTATATCCTAATTCTGAAAGAAAAGTCAGGATCTGCATTGTCTTGTTAAAGCTTGAAATTAGAGATTGGAACTAGGGGTGGGTATTGCCAAAGAAGTCACGATTCGATTCGAATCACGATTCACAGGCCACGATGCGATTCTATCACGATGCATCACGATACTTGAATTATTGCGATGCATTGCAATATTTTATCCTCCATGTTTTGTTTTTAAATGACTCGGCACAGTATCCCGCAGCCGGAAATACTTGTGACACAAGGCAGCGTGCGTCAACACATTTGCAGCGACATCTACTGGACTGGAAGTTGTATTACACTTGTTTTTGGCTGATGTTCGCCAACCATTCATGCAATTTTATTTATTCATTTTTTTAAATTAATAATCGATTCTTGGCATCAAGAATCGATGCAGTAGATCACGAAAATTAGAATCACGATGCATCATCATCACGATTATTTTGCACACCCCTAATTGGAACACAAAACAGCGACTGGTGCTTCTATATTGATGGAAAAAAAAGATGGAACAAAAACAAACAAAACTTGGATCGACTTGTGTAGATCTTTTTTTTTTTTATTTCTGTCAAACATCGACCACCGTTATGTACATGAACATTTTAAAACATTTGATATTCCTCACATGATCGACCGACTGCAAACAGTAAGAGGCAGCAGAAGCTGGAAAACTTTGTATAACATTGTGGTCACAGTGCTATGTATGCAGTAAGGTGTTTCACTACTAACTACACACCGACTTGACAGGAAACACTGGTAACTGTCCACCCCATTGAAAGCTTGCGTTTTTTTTTTAAATTCAAAAGTCATAAAAGTTGCAGCTTATCAGAGAATAACGGCCAATAAAAACCCTTCGGAGTGTTAAGGCTGTATTTATGTGTTTCAGTTTCACCATTTTGATTGTAGTCTAGTCAAGTAAAGTTGCAGCATCGGATTTTAAGATAGGAATGTTTTCTGGACTCATTTTTGCACATTGTATGTTGGATCAATTCTCTTCACAAAGCTGGTAAACACACGACGACTTCAAAGATAATCATTTACACTCTTTTAAAGTTTGAATTGTTCTGATGTTTTCTGGCTTGTGAAGGAGCCGTCTGCTGCAGGAAGTGTTGTACAGACTGTGCACTCCCTGTCCTCTGGACATGGTGTTCCAACAAATGATTATAGTTTATTTATGTGTTAGTCTACTTTAAAGAAAAGTGATCAAACTTGGATCAGAACAACAAACAGTTAAGTTTTAATCAACAAACATTCAGTGATGTTAAATTATATGTGAGATTTGATAACTTTCGTGATTCTTTACCTCCAAATGAATATAAAATAGGGGTATAAATTAGAAAAGGGGCTGGAGCTAAATAATGTCTGAAGAAAATTACCACATTAAAGTGGACTGGCTAATAAGAGGTGAGCTACGCTTACATATTCAAACAATCAGTGGATTTCATTACTTTAGGGAAATTATAATACAATCTATGAAGTCATCATATACTGTAAATGCACAATAAACGTGCAGGTCCAACAAAAACACACATCATTGTACATCTACAGCATCCTGCTACCCCTACATTTTAACAAGACATACAGGAATGGCCAAACTTTTTTTTTATTTTTATCAAACGCTTTCATCTTTTTTACTTTACATCTAGATGTAGAATCAAAAATAATTTCAAAATAAATATCTAAAAGCAAAGATTCAGAGCATCATTAAACTGGATTCCATTCGACATGCTAAATTTCATGGCAGTGTATGTGGGAAATGCCCTGAGACACAAAGACTGAATAGTTAGTCTGTGTGTGTGCAGCAGTGTTGGTTCCTTTAAAATCCAGCATGTTGGATACACAGACAACCCATAAGGGCTCATTCACAGGGTGCAGCTTTAGGGTTTTGCTGGTGTCTGTGGGGATATTGCACCGAAAAAAGGGGCCTCTAGCTGTGCGAATAAAGAAAAAGAAACATTTTGTGTAAAGCTCTTATTTGTGCATCAAAATTAAGCATAGAAGGGTATTAAAACAAAGATGTAAACTATATTAAAAAAAAAATCAATGTTGGCATGTGATTTGCACGCAGAAAGGCAAGTTTAGCAGAAATTAATTACTTTCTCTCCACATAGGAACATGATTTTTCAAAAATAATTATTTGCTTAGTGTCTCTTTTAGGTTCTAGAATAATAATAATAAAAAAAGAAACCTACAGGGATTTTTCCGTATCCACCAAAAAAAGGCTAGAATTGCACTAAAGCACACAATACTGTTATCCGATTAAGGCAGGTAATACAATATTTGCACCTTTTGTCAGCAAAATAACCAATCCAACGTCACTTTTACAATCAACACATATTTTCAGTATGAGGAATAGAATTAAGCTGAAATGAACATTAGGGAAACATAATATCAAGAATATTACAGTTTACATAGTAAAAAAAAAAAAGCCAAAACATGATTAGACACTAAGTGTAATCTATGACCAATAATAACAATTACAAAACAATGAGGCATCATGGAGTCATTAAAAAAAACATGAAATGATCTGAAGTAGATTTCTTTGTGTTTTGACAATCAATAACGCAGCTTTGTTGTGTTTAACGTGAAGCGAAGCAAAATTTACAAAGGTGACAAAAGATAAAGCAAAAAGACACCACAGAGTCTCTGGAAATAAAAAAAATGATACAAAAAGTTTAAATGTGTCTGTAGAGGTGAGGAAATGGAAGGTGTTAGCCGCTTTTTATTGCACTTCTGATGGAGCTCAGGCCGAACCAGCCCAGGTGGGATATTTGGTACAAATTCTAGTCAATTAAAAAGACACACTTAGAGAAAAAGTGTTGATCAGTAAACAAACTGTGGATTGTGTCTGCACTTGTAGAGCACACCCACATGGGTGTGTCTGTTTGCAGATTTTTTTCTATAAGGGGCTAGCTAAGAGTAAAAAAAAAAAGAAAACAAAAATCAGCTTCAAAAGTCCTCTGCTTTATGGTTTTCTCCCTCGTCTTTCGACAGAGGAGACCTGGCCTCCTGCATTTCCTCGCCCTCCTCTCCTCCATTGCCGCTGCTGCTGGACTCGGCTGGATAAACAACGACGCACATCTTCTGGCCCAAGTACGTCATTTTGTCTGCAAGTAGAAGAGGAAGAAAATAGATCAGGAGAAAAAGCTGAGAAATTTCTGTACTGATACAAAAATCCTCACAGAGATATCTACCCAATGATAAACTCCTTCATTATTTTAAAATATGAGCCAATAGGGCTTTCAGACTAAGTGAAAGGTGCTGAATTTTGAAGATTGGACTAAAGTATTTTTCACATTTTGAGAAAAGTAAAAATAAATGGCAAACTTTTTAGTTGACAAAAATATATTTTTATAGTATATATGCGTAACAAAAAGTTTATTTAGTTGACTCAATTTTTGTTAGATGAGCCGTGTTCACATAATATCATTGAAGTTCTCTCTGGTTTGCAGTCTACAATTGGGCGAACCCTGGTTAAGGTCCCCAGGTCCACTGTGAAGGTCCACAGCTCTTCCTGATTTCTTGTTTATTTAGATTTTTCTATTATTTTATCAAATGAAGCAGAGGGTTTTAGATCTCGCCTTAAATGTTGTGAATTAACCTGTCAGACACGTGCAAAGCCTTATATATTCACATAAAATTTCTAAACTTATTTAAGCTTATTACAATTATTGTATTTCCAAAAAAGTAAAAAAACAAACCACTGGACTTTGTTTCCAAGTTTGAAGACCTTTCGCTTCCCATCCAGGAAGCTTTTTCAATTCAAAATGTCAAACGAATGCTCATTCCTAAGGGATCAATTTGCATGTTTTTTAAGCCAAGGCTTTGTTTGGCCTCGAACTCGACGGTATTTCTATTTAGAATTGAAAAAGCTTCCTGGAATCGAAATGAAACATTTGCAAACATAGAAACAAAGTCCAGTGGATTTTGTTTTAACTTTCTTGGAATGACTATGACCTGGATGACAGAGAATCTTCCCCAACATTATTATCATATGTTTTTATCAGCATTGGTTTGCCAGTTTGCCTTTTTTTTTTTATAACTAAAAAGGACAGATTTTGATTAAATTTTCAGTGAAGGTGCATATTTTAACTTGCAACAAATTATTAAATTTTGGTGATGATCTGGATCACCATCTGGATCCAGGAAAACCTTTGAAACAAACACAAGTATTAACTCAAGGTGGAAGTAACCATATGTCGAGGAAATGAGCTACTTGGTGGAGATCTGCGCTCTCTGAGGGCTTTTTCTAGTTTTTGATTTCAAAGTACATAATATACAACTTTAATAAATCCGCATTGTATTGAAATATTTTGTTTTAATATTATAATAATCAGAATAGAAAATAATAATTTCATATTTGCCCCTGGATAGAAAAAAACAAGGATAATCAACTGCAGATATAAATAACAAAAAAATCCTTTGCATTTAAGTCATCTCTTTAGGAGGAGTGTGCACCTTTCAGTGAATGTGGAAGAACCTGGGGAATCTGAGAGGGAGTGCTGAGTAAGGACTGTGTTGCCTGCAGTATTGTGCATGAATGCGTTCAATAAATGGCGTTCACTAAATACGTTCATATTTTTAATGAACGGTGAACTGAAAGATCATTTTTGAAGTAATGATCGTGAGCAAGAAAGACAGCTCACATTCGCATTCAATTGATAACGACACTTTTCACTGCATAACGTCAGGTTTTACGGCACTATAACAGCAAAAAGCATGACAGACCAGCATATCTACTGCTAATAAAACGCAATTCAAACTCATATGCTGGTATTTCTGATGCCAATTTTGCAGAATGATTGGCAGAGTTTTATGAACTAACAAAGGAAGACTGAGAAAAAAACTCAAGTTTCTATGCAAACTGTGCCCACCAGGATTTAAAAAACAAATCCATATGTCAGCCGTGTCTACTTAAAATTTAAAGCAATACATAAAGTTAAAGCATCCAAGCTATCTTGGAAAATAACTGCTACTGAATCAGGATCATAAGAAATAATTTTTGATACAGGTCTTTTCAGCATAACCTGAAAGTACCTTTGTGTTTCAGAAGTTCTGTGTAATTTGGATTTACTGCACATTCAGTGCACCTTGACTGCATTGAGTATTGTCCATTTCTTTCTATATGTTATAATTGCACATTTAAATGGTGAGATACGAGGTTCTATTGTTTAGGATTGTGGCTTAATTTACCAAATGAACTTGAATTAGTTAATTTATAGGTTTGTAAATTGAACTTTGAGCTTGTTTTTTTAACTATAAGCTGGCACATTGGTAGCCTGTGAGGGACCTACAGCAGCCTTAAATGCTTGTTGAGAGTATTGCACACTTTCCCATTTGATAGAATTCACAATGATCAAACATTTCTAGTAGACCAGTATTGTAAAAAGTTGGTATACCTTGATGCAACATATCTGTAGACTAACAGAGTCCAACAGAGAAAGTTTTCTTGTGATAATCTCACTTACCAACAAAAGCATTAAAGCACTGTGGTTTTTTGTCCCAGTAGACGCCGAGGAAATAGACTGGAACTCCGGTGAGCATGATTGCAAGTCCGATGCCGCACACCACAGGCTCAGAGTACAAGGAGAAGATGAGCAGGAAGGCCCAGAAGATGAGGTAAATAACTGGCCATATCAGGCTGATCTAAAGACAAAAAACATTTCTAGATTTTAAAAACTCACAGAGACCGTCTAATACTGCTATATCATTGTCTATGTTTATGTTTGATAAGAACATTTTCTCTTATGTTCAAATTTAGTTTACTAAACTGCATTCAGGTGTGAAAATGAACTTACCTTGATTGGCCGATGCATGTTGGGCTGTTTGATTCGAAGCACGATCTGCCCGGCGACAGTGACTCCATAAAAGAGGTAGTTGATAAAGCCCACATAATTGATGAGGGTGTACATGTCACTGGTGCACAGCATTAGCAGGGTGGACAGACACTGGGAGAGAGAAGAGACAGAACAGGTCTGGTTGTCTGCTGTCGACTGAACAGTGAAGAAGATGAGAGCAGTACTCACAGTGAAGGCCAAAGCAGGGATTGGGGTGCAGCGTTTTACATGGATCATGGCCAAAAGGCTTGGGAGGTGTCCCTCTCTGGCCCCAGCAAAGAACAACCTGTCACGAATAAACGGGGAGACGACATAAATCTACAATACAGCCACAATTTATTGACTTCTACTGAAACAGCATTTCATTTTACTGGGCCTTTGAAAGAGCACTTTATTAACTTATTCTTCTATGTTACGGTACATATCTTTTAACCAATCTGACTGTATTGTCTAAAGTACCTTGAGATGACATGTAAATAAACTGAATTGAAGAGTCCATTAAAACTTACAGCAAAGTTAAAGATTTAAGGGTGATTTATACTTTGAAACCAGTTCCTCTGCGTAGGTGTCGCATTGAATTCAAAGATGTCCCCGCCCCCTTCCGCAGACACTCTGCTGCACCTCTTCCAAATTGTAACTGACCGCAGACAGTGCTGCAGACAGGAGGCAGGCTTGTTTTGTTTTTATGACCGCAATTGCGCAAAACAACTCGTAAAGATGGATCAGCTAGAAGAGGGAGGTGCGCGAGAACGCTGGGACCCTTTTTCCACCTGGATCTCCGCTCTTTTTCGCCCCCATGTTCCTCCGTTGTCAAACAAACTCGCCTCCACTTCCTCACCACCTCGGCCGTATCTAGACCCACAGCGTATAGCGCAGACCACGCTTCAAAATGAGCATAAATCAAAAATGTCTGCATCAAGCTCACTGCAACACACTGCTGCAGGGGGTATAACTCTCCCTTTAGCCAACAGGTAACATAGTCATCAATACCTTGCAGTAGCATGAAAAAGATTTCTTGTTTTTCCTGTCAAATGCGACATTATTTAATCCTCTCATGCATGAATTATGATAAAGTCAGTCAGGATTTTTTTACAGCTTTAATAAATTCTTAGGAATGTAAAACAAAGTTTTAAAAAAAATTCTACCTTTATTCTATAAAGAAATATTTATCTGTCCACTCAAGTGTACTTTATGCATGTTATACTGTAAGAAAATCATTATACTAATAACGTAGTTGCATAGATACATTTGTAATTTAGTTTTATAGATGTAATACATTATTCCGTTGGAACGGTGGTTCTTCTACTCTCATGCAACTTGTGTTTTGTCTTTTTCTCTGTGTGTCTTGGTTTCACTGACCTGTTATATATATATATATATATATATATATATATATATATATATATATATATATATATATATATATATATATATATATGAGTAAAATTATTCACAGTGGGTAGAGTAGCCAAAGATTTTACTCAAGTAAGAGTGGTAATACTTTGTTATTACCTTATATTACTTGAGTATAAGTAAAAGAACCTAATGGTTATATGGTAAAACTACTCCTAAAGTTACGTTTGTATCAAAAAGTTACTCAAGTTAATGTAACTACCATAACTAGAAACCACCTCTGTCCTTAAAGGACAGAAATAGATAGTATGTCATCAAGTCCACTGACCGTGAAGAGGTAAAGAGGGAGCCATTTACTCCTCCGAAGGTGGAGAGAGCCACAGAGATGGGCATGATCCAAGCCATAACTCCCAGTAGCTTCTCACCAAACGTCTGACAAGGAGGAGCAGAGTGTTAGGGTTAAGGGGTTCAGTCACTGATCTGACACATGCAGTGACTAAAGAAGAGCACTAGGAGGCAGGAGCGACTAAAATGATCAGAAACAGTGGTGCAGGCTGAGCTGAGACACAGGACTCACCACGGCAACAGCATTTGAGGCCAGCAGTTCCTGGGGACTCATGGCCGTGACATAGGCGATGTTGGCGAAGACGTAGACGAAGGTGACAAGAGGGATGGAGATGAAGATGGCCCGTGGAAGATTCCTGGAGGAAAACACAGAATGAGTGAAGGTGGGGAAAGTACAGAACAAATGTACATTGTTCAGTATCTACAGTACTGCCAAACACCTGCAATGGACAGATTTCTTCTGACTGAGACTGGATTACTGTCAGGTAGCTTTAACTAAACTGGGAAAGGCTTAAACTGGGAAGCCTTGTCGGAATGTGACCGCTAATCTCCCCAAAAACAGCAAAAGCGGCTTCATACTACTCCCTTTCAAGTTGGGGGAAAAAAAAAGGAGATTTCTGAACATCACATGAAAAAATATTCTGATGAATAAAAGGAAGAAAACATACACGTAAGGATCAACCAGCTCCTCGGTGACGTAGTTGAGGAAATTCCAGCCTCCATAGGCGAAGGAGCCTTGTAAGAATGCCAAGGCTATCAAACCCACATCATAGTCCTGGAAAGGCTCAAAGGCATTAGCTGGCTCCAGCCAGTAGTACTCTCCTACAGGTGGAGCGGGACAAGAAAATCAAAACATCCTTCAATATTTTGTAATACAAAGCCCAAGAAAAACTCAGCCATATCTGTGTTAAAAACACAATGACTCATACCCTAATTACATGTAGGGTATGTTGTTGACCATTTATTCATGGTTATATAAACTTGTCTTGCTGAAGGGGTAAACAGGCTGTTTTTTATTACTGTTCAGGCTTGTTTTCAGGAAATCCAGCTGAAAGCTATCCCTTAACAAGATCAGTGTGTGTGCAAAAGTAGGCTGTACAACAATTCCTCATGAGCTATTCCTCAGACAACAAAGGCAAAACATAACAATCAGTATCTTTCACTGAAATACCTTTAAGAGGGATTTTTTTGGATCAATTAAAGTAAATATCTGCAGAAACAGAACATAACTGTGAAACAAAAGCAAAATTCACCAACGGTTTAATTTATTTTAAATAGTAAATTGCATTTAACTCAATGCTTTTTTGTACTACGTTTCACTACAATCACAGCAGAAAGTCATATTTTGTGTATATCTACCAGCGTTGTACATCTGGAGAGTAAACCTTGCAAACTATATCAAGTTTAATCAAACTGGAAGTAGAGCATAATTGTTTTGAACTTTTGGCAATTTTAAGATAACTATGTTAAAATTGGGGTTGTGGTTGAAATGTATGGTCGCCTTCATGTTGGAAGGTGAACCAACATGTTTCATGTCTTATTCAGGTTTTCTCTAAGAATTATACTTGTTATGGAAAACACAATAAGAGAGTACTTGGTGAGAAATGATTGAAAAGTATTTTGATGTAACTCTGTGATTTTGTTACTTATCATCCTTTATAAGGTTGCTTCACCAAGTTCAAATCTCTGGAGATGTTGAAACATAGCTTTATTCCCTACTTGATGTTTACCCTACCCACCAATGTTCAGCTCCTTGTCTTATTTATGCTCTTTTTAATACATAGATAAAAAAAGAATAAAACCACATAGCATGAGGGAGATGCAGGCATTTGCAGACGTCAGCTTCTAGGTCTAAAAAAACACTTAAGGTATGAAAATGAACACCTCTTCTAGGAAACTCTGACCGGCTTTCCTAACCCTACTTAGAAAAACCTCCACAGCTAAATGCTGCCACTACCATGTGTACACATGGTGTACATGAGGTGATGCTGAGTTCACAGTGAATGCATTTTGAGCACCAGGAGCAGCCGGTTTACATGGTTGATGGCATCAAGGTGCTTTAAATGTCCTGCAGCGCATTTTCAAGCAGCTGGGGTAGACAATATTTTGAGCAGTCAAGCATGTGAGGCACATCACAGGCGACCGAGGCGCTTTAGAAGAAAACAGTGATAAACAGCTCTGGAAGTGATCCTCATCAGCACAAAGCTCTTGGAGTATGTGGTGAACACCTCTACTAAGTATCTGGTAAATCCAGTATCCGCAAAAAAGGGATCAGACGACGCCGTTCTCTAGCTTTATTTAGGAAATAAATCCAAGTCACTCTTTTAAATTTATCTGCCATTGTGCAAGATACTGGCATTGAGAGGAGGCTAGCTCCTTCCAACGCACTACAAACTTTGCCGGTACACCACCAGAGCATCTTTGATGCATCTGACCCTAATGTGGACCAGCATCAAAGATGAAGCAGCAGATGCTTTATTGCCTCTCAAAGAGTGTTTGGAGAGAATGCATCATGATGCTCCCATATGCAGGCCAAAATTGAAAATCTGTCCCAATCTGACTAGACCATCTTTTGTTTCCTTCTCTTGGTTTGTGGCAAACTGCAAGTAGAGTTTTTTTTTTTTTTTTTTTTTTTTTCAGAAAGGTTAGAAATAAGGGCAGCAGAATTGCATTATTTGCTTTCTGCAACAACCTATTGTTGTCCTCAAAGAACCGATAGCTAATGCTGAGATGAAGGTACACACAGGTGGGCTGTATTTACTAGACAGTTAACTACCAAATGCAACTTGTTCTGCTGGACCAGTGACTCCAATGAATGAACCAACTCTTTAGGATAGCATCAGGTTCTTGCTAATGAACCACTCCTTTATTCAGGTGTGTTGGGCCATCTTGGCTCTTGAGGACTAAAGCGGACTGTATCTGATATAGGGTATAAATGCACTCCCAGCTTGTTATATTTCTATTTCCCATTAAAAACAAAGTTTAATTTTCCCTCTAATTTAAAATGTGCGAATACCTGTGTAAGGCACTGTACTCTCCCTCATTTGGGTCCTTAAATTTTCCAACAAATATACAAAAGAATATCTCTTAATGAACTTTCAACCCTTTCAAATGGCTTATTCTGTTGTTTTAGGGGCCTATGTCCGGTGTCCTTAGAGTTTCTGGCTCTTATCCATGTTTGCAGCACAAACAGCCACACTTGTGCTGACATTAGCTGTATGGGTTTTAACCTAAAGGACCCGAGCAACCCGTCAACCCCGTTTTGATCCAGAAGGAGTGTATACCATCCCCACGGACCGCGGGCACGTGTTGCGTGTTTCAGATTTTTTTAGAAATAATTTATGTCATGCTAGCACACTGTGGCTGTAGGTCCTCTGGGGAGAACAGATGGCAGCGGTAAACTCACCCTTGCAGATCTGGACAATCCCCATGATGATGATTAAAGCTAAAGCCAGCAGCTTGCCAGCAGTAAAGATGTCCTGCACTCTGGTGGCCCACCTCACGCTGGAGCAGTTCACCCAGGTCAGCAGCACTAAATGGAAAGAAAGAAGCAAAAATCACTGGCTGTGCAAGAATTGTTGAAAGAACTACAGATATTTTTGACAGAGTGACGTTCACATCCATGTTAACCTGAAGTAAAAATCAATTTCAACAGTCTGCTGTGAAAATGTTTTCTCTCCTTTTTTTATCCTTCACACTATGAACATCATTTCTCGCAGCTCCAGTTGTGTAAACCCTGCAAAGATTTATTCTCTTATATGACCAGCAGGTTGGCCATCATCAGTACAGATCAACATCACTGAAAGGACAGCTTCTCCTATCTTCCCATAACTGGGTTAAGAGAGAGGGCCTCTGTGCCCTGGTGTATACTCTAAGAAAGTCGTCATGGATCATTAGAATCCACCAACACAGCATCACAGATCCTCCACCATACAGTACCTAACAGTGGGCATGAGGGGGACATTTATTTATATAATCAGACCCACCTGGAGTTTTTGTTACCTAAAATATATATTTATGCTCATCTAGTCAGGGAATGCAATTCCAGTATATGCAGCAGCAGATCCAAAGGTTTATGTTTTCTATGTATTAATGTAAATCTTTTTTATTTTATTTTATTCTATTCTAGTTATTTTCAATAACTGTGGTGCTAGTGATTCTGTTAAAGGCTGTGGGCTTTTTCCTCCTCAAAACTTTAAAAAAAATTTTTTTATGTTTTTAAATGTCAGAATTATGGGCTTCAATTGTAAGGAAACCGGACTTAGCTGAAGTCCAATTGCCTTACAATTGAACCCTGTTTTGTGGTTGGATTATAATATGACAATAATAAATTTATTCATTTTATGGTTATTGTTTTGAACTTGAGATCGAAACAACTGAGGAGGGAGGCTTATGTCAGACACATAAGCTTTGTTATTGGGAATTGGTTACAGACCAGTTACTACACTCTAAAAACGATCTAAAAATGAATAAAAAATTCTTAAATCAAGTGTATTTACCCTTAATTTGAGTAAGTAAATAAGATGATCTGCCAATGGAATAAGTATTTTTACCCTCAAAAGAAGATAATTAGATGTTATGCACTTGAAATAGGAGACCGCAGCTGTTTTTTCTTATTTTAAATGCAAATTGTTGTATTTCATTGGAAAAGAGTTTCACACACCTGCTCAATAAAAAAGAATTGGCTTTTTTTAAGTAAAATTCACATACTTAGATTTTTATTTTTTGCAGTGCATGCTTTGGTTGCAAATCTTTTATTGTTGAATGAAATACAGTTAAACTTGTGTTGATAGAATACCTGGCTTTAAAGGTATAGTGGAGGATATTCTTCTCCAGGTGGATCATCTAAATAAGTGGTCCTCCTAATTGTCAATCATTCTGGTGATATGTTTACCTAAGGCCGTCCTACGTGCTTATCCTCAGTTACCTATCTTTTTCTGTGCATGCACACTTTCAGGCATATATCTGTGGTAAGCTATGGTTTCAGACAGTCAATGAAACTCAAATTTTTTACCACGGTTCATTTAAAAAGGCAGAGGGTCGTAAGAGAAAAAGTGTCTACGAAGTGTATGAGAAAGGCCTCAGAAGGGAGAAACAAGACCAGAGTCATTTTGGGAGATTCTTTCACACAATGGCGTACACTGAAAGCACAGGTCGGGCGTCCCACTGATGTCTTGGTTGCAAAGTCTCTACTCAACAGGTAAAGTTTGGCATGCTATTTGGAGAAATCCATTTCGCATCTCTGCTAGTAAAATATATTTACCTCTATATTGTCACTTTCCAGGGAAGATAAGGTTATTTATTTGGCTTGTGCACGCTCTCGCATGCGTTTAAATAGGAGTTCCCTCTCAGGAGCAGGTACAGGGTTGTGTATGTGTGTGATGGTTTTTTTTGTAAAATGTAGAGGGCAGCCTTTTAAAATATTTGCAAAAATCCTCCACTATATTTTTAATTTTACTAACGTTTCAAGGAGCAAAAGCTTTAATAGAGTTCGTAAACGAGTTTTGCGTTGCTCAATAGACTGTATAAAGTTCTAAATATAGCCGATGTTGTACACTCAGATGATATTTAGGTTATCTAGACAAAACAATGTTTCATTTATTTGCTTTGTAAAAATCATTCTCTGCTTTATAAGGAGAAACAAGTCCACAGCAGTCTAACTGGGTTCTGAGTACAAACTTTTATCCCGTATTTACAGCTGTTCTTTAAAATTGACATACCCTTCTGTCAAAGATAGGCTTTGTGTATGCACAAAATTGAACTGTAATGGAAGTGTTAACCTAACACTTCCATTGCAGACAGAACAAAATCAGCTGCTAGTAGAATAAATTTAAATTGACAAAAGTAATAATAAATAAAAATGGAAATCCTGACACTGATTCTTAATATATATACAAACATATGCATATATTGATAAATAAAACAAGTGACACTTTGAGACAAGGTCTGAAATCAGGTGTTTCCTGTAATGTTCAGGAAATGTTGAATTAAACTTCTGCACCTGTTGAAAGGTATGTTGGTTCTCTGTTCATGAGCAAGGCACCTTTATTTTTGTCTGGGACAGCTTTGTAGAATCATTTTTTAAATAAAAAATCAAAATAAATATTTTACTTTAGAGAATGATAAAGAATGATTTAGTATTTTAAAATTTATAATTACTTTTTTTCAGTTTTGTGTTATTTGAATTATGGATGTGAATTTATAATTTTCTGTAATGGCATGGTCTGTAAACTTTCAAGCACAACCCTGGCTGGGTCCGATACAAAATTGGATTTGTTGTAAGCTGCTGAGTTAAACAGGCCATTGGGTTCGAGCCAACAGGGTGCCATTAAATAAGAGGGCCTGCTCAGATTAACTTCATTACATTAAACAACTCTGAAGCTGACGCTACAGGGATCGTAAGACAGATGCACATGGGAGGACATGCACGCTCCAATGGCATACGAACAACGCTCGGTGTCGGGTGCAAAATGACAGGGGGCAGAGTGGGATGTGGGCATTCGCCGTGTTTGTGCGGGGGAGATATTTGCAGCCAGCTGGGGGGGCATGCACAGCGGGGACTTTAAATGTTAGGGTATTTTCCTCTCCAAACAAAATTACAGCTGTGGTTAAAGGGAAGGGGGAGGGGGGCTGTTTAAACAAGGGAAGTGAGCCTAGCCCATTATGGGTAAGACTCAGGCAGGCACTGGGAAATGAAACACAGTTTACTAATTGTCAAGCAGGCCTAATTAAAGTAATTACAGGTTAAACCTTTTGATGCAAATTTGTAAACAAAGTTGTTGGTTTGTTGCTGCAGGAATTATCTTCCAGGTACCCATCTACTCCTTCTCTGACTGGGTTATAAACCTGAGGACGGTGTCCCCAAATCATGATGCTGTGTAGGATAAAAAGAAAATGGTGCTTTTCGCAAAGCTAACTTTAAACCAGCTCCAAAAGCACAAAAAATAAAAATTGAGGCAGAATTAGTCTCTGCAACATGTCAAAGACTTGAGGTGTATCAGTAAGACCACATAGGAGAAGAGAATTAGTCCCAGATCCTGATCTTACTCAGATGACCAACATGAAACCCCTCAAACGTCTCGTAGCTGAAGGTAAACTCACCTCAGATCAATGCCAGAGGCTAGTAGAAAGGTACAAGATGCCTCTCATCAAACTTATTTTAAACTTTTTCCTTGTTTTTGCTTAATACATTTATATAATGACTAAAACAAAGTTAAGCTATAGTGTTTACTTTTTTTAGTAAAGGTTTAGATGTCTATTAGAAATTACTAATATGGTGGCTGTGTTTTATTACATGATGTAGAGACAGGAGCTGCAAAATGATCACGATATCACTTTTTTTGTTTTTGGTAATTTAATGACTAAAAGTAGAAGTTGAATCAGACAATGCAGAAAACCACTTAAAGACACAACTGAAAAAAACTGCAGACAAATTAAAGCATAAAAAAGACATCTCAACTCTTTCTGCTAGTTTGATAATGATAATTTCAATAAATTCCAAATATGATTGTGTACTAATCTGATTTTCCTTAATCTAAAATCCATATGAATTTACACAATATTTTTTATATGTATTTTAGTTATTTTTATTCAATTAAATGTTTCATAATATATGGTGTTAGATACCAAACCCTTGAAGATGGAAAGTGGAAAACAGTTTGGGATTACCAGCAGCTGTAATCCCACATAAACTGTTTGCTATTGGAGCCTTTCATTAAGTTTTAAAAGCACAGGAGCCATATTGTATTGGAAGTGTCAGTGTTTGTGAGAAAACTACATCATTCCCGGTTGGAAGTACTTCCTGTTTATTTTGCAGCTTGGGATTCTTATCTTAAACAAAACCACAAATAGGTAAAAATACTGTTTTATATGTTTTGACCACAAAAAACAGATAAAAACTAGCATTTTTAAGCTGTTTTAAAAGAAACACAGTGAGAAATTTGAAAAGCAGCATTTGAAAAAAATATTTATTGTTATTAGAGGTTTTAGAACCACCACTTAATAACTAGGGAGACACTAATAAAAAGCCAAAAAAAGGCTGCCCTTAAATCTTAAATGACCTGTTTCTGACTAACGAGTTAGCGATATCCCCTGCAAACAGTAAGAATTGTTTAAAATTGCTAATTTTAGCAAAAACAAGACATCCACAAACCATGCTGAAATAATAAAATATACCTCATGAATCTTATTAACACTGGTGACATAATAGGTAACTGCAAACAATAAAGCTTTAGCCTATTTTGTCCTAAACAACAACAAACAGACAGACATCATTTACAAGACTGTGATTTTTATTACAAGCAGCTTAACAGGATCTGTCTCACATATAACCTGTAAAAATACCAACCTGACTTTAGAGGTCCCTGAGGGCAATTCCTTATGAAACTGTAAACATTTATGTAAGTAAAACAGGTAGAAAATAGGACAAGACAATTATCTATATGTAGGTCAATGTGTCATAAGAGTAAAGGAAGTACAAAATGTTCAGACAAGGTTGATTCTGAGGCGGGCGGTTCTTCCTGGTGTAAACAGCCTGTAGGAGACTTTCTCTGTTTGTGGGTTTTATCAGGTTTTTAATAGCTAAGCACGGCGTAGCTATTAAAAATGGCTATGTTTAGAAATAAAGTTTGCTAATTTTACACTGGTTATAACACATATCTACAATCTAGGAGGTGCAGTTTTTAAAAAAATTGCATCACAAATTACATAACAGCCAAAAAGTTAGCATTTTATCTCACTGTACTCTCTCTCTCTCTCTCTCTCTCT